GACCAGCCTGGTGTCAGACCAGCCTGGTGTCAGACCAGCCTGGTGTCAGACCAGCCTGGTGTCAGACCAGCCTGGTGTCAGACCAGCCTGGTGTCAGACCAGCCTGGTCTCTGGACTTCCCGAAGTGGACAAAGTCCCACTGCCTAACTAGGCACTTACGCACCCTAGCAACCCACCTAACCAATCGAGGTCGACGCATAGGAAACGTAAATATTACGGTGCTTTAATGCCTACTATATTATATATATATACACACACACACACATATACATTAGACCAGAGTCGGTGTGGTTGTGGACGGGGCGGGGGGTCACCTTTATATAGCTGCTCCCATGGCTCACTGCTGGGATTAACCAGTCTCTGAGTCCTGGTGCGTGCCCAGGATTATTCGGGATTACTCAAAGTAGGATTGATGGGGATTAATGATTGAGAGATCACCGGGGATGCGGGTGTGGGGGGGGGGGGCATAGGAAATGGGATTGTCTTTGATACAACCAATTTTGAGTGTCCATTGTTTGTGATAAGAAATTGTTAGGATCCATTTGAGCAGCGGTGTTGTTTGAGCGTGTTAAACACCAAACTTTTTTTTTTATATTTTACCAAACATCTGCCCGAAAACTAGCAGCGGGTAGAGGCTAGCAGCTGGTGGAGGCTAGCAGCTGGGGTAGCAGCAGGTGGAGGCTAGCAGCTGGTGGAGGCTAGCAGCTGGGGTAGCAGCAGGTGGAGGCTAGCAGCTGGTGGAGGCTAGCAGCTGGGGTAGCAGCAGGTGGAGGCTAGCAGCTGGTGGAGGCTAGCAGCTGGGGTAGCAGCGGGTAGAGGCTAGCAGCTGGTGGAGGCTAGCAGCTGGAGTAGCAGCAGGTGGATGCTAGCAGCTGGAGTAGCAGCAGGTGGAGGCTAGCAGCTGGAGTAGCAGCAGGTGGATGCTAGCAGCTGGTCGCCATCGGTTAGATGGGCTGCTCAGGGTCCTACGTTGCTGGCTAGGCTAAACAGTTGTGTATTGCACGGAGTGGCAAATTGAACGATGGACGTTCAATTATTGTTATAAACAACCTCGTAGTGCTTCGGGGTGTGTGTCGTAAGCTGTTTAATATATGTAAAGTACGTCGCCCTGGTTGAGGAAAGATGTAGAGGTTTCGCAAGTAGTTGTGTACATGGTTGATGAGTCTTTGTTCGTCGAAGGACTGATGTTTGGTCAGTTGAGGCAGTGTTGGAACCTTCAGTCTTGAGGCACTGAATCCTACTACCTCATTATTATTATTATTATTATTATTATTATTAGAAATATTATTTATATTTTCATTATTAATATTATTTTAATTATTATTATTATTATTATTATTATTATTATTGTTATTGTTATTATTATTATTATTATTATTATTATTATTATTATTATGCTTAATGTTCAATATTATGCATTATGGGATCGTAATAAGGTGTATAAAACCACAAATAACATAGACATGTTAGCAACAGGTCTTGCCATATTGGTTCTTACCTAGTTGTGCTTGCCGGGGTTGAGATTTAGCTCTCTAGTCCCACCTGTGAACTGTCACTCAACTGGTGTACAGGTTGCTGCGTCTGTTGGACTCTGTCATATCTACATTTGACACTGTGTATGGAGTCAGCCTCCACCACATCACTGCCTAATACGTTCCATTTCTTAACTACTCTGCCACTGAAAATAAATCTTGCGGATATCTCCGTGGCTCATTTGGGTGTTCAGATATCTCCGTGGCTCATTTGGGTGCGCAGTTTACACCTGTGTCCCCTTGTGTATCAATGTGTTAAATAGTCTACCTTTATCAACTCTGTCATTTCCCCCCCCCTCCCTTCCTGGGAATTTTGTATACAGCAATCGTGTCCTCCCTAACCTCACTGTCTTCTAGGGACATGAGGTTTCATTCCTGTAGCCTGCCCTCATACCTCATGCCTCTCAGTTCTAGGACCGGCCAGGTGGCCATACCTGTGACTTACAGTCAAGGCTCTGATGTAGGCCGACACAGGAACGAACACTTCAACACTGTAAGGGGACCCCCCTGATGTTGTATACACCTATTTTGACCCGAGAACAAGTGTGAGAGAATTCGTGGAAATGACTACAGTATTGTATTGCTAGACCTACATTGTATGTAGGTAATTCGCTGGAGAAGGGCATCTCCCTTCTCACTTCCTCCTTGAGTGTGAGGAAGCCTCACTCTTCCTCACTACTGGCAGTGTTTACAAGCTCTTGAGAGCTCTCCACTGAACAGTATTCATCTCCAACCTACTCACATATTATTAAACAGATAAGATTGACTCACACTATCATTCATATGTATGGTACTGGCTCACACCCTGATCCGTATCTGTGACATTATCTCACACTCTGATACATATGTATGAAACTACTTCACTCTCTGATACATATGTATGACACTGCTTCACTCTCTGATACATATGTATGACACTACTTCACTCTGATACATATGTGTAACACTGCTTCACTCTCTGAACTCTCTGATACATATGGGTGGCATCTATCTCACACCCTGATACATATGTATGACCGGATCGAACCCTCATACATACTCTGTATGTATATGAAGTATCCGTAAAGGAATACATTCAATACCAATTTAATTTTTATTTTCAAGTCTTATTGAGACTTAAGACTATATAGCTCCTCCACGCCGACCTGCTTCTGTCCTGGAACTTGGTAGCAGAGCGGTCTTCGTTCTCGACTCTCACTCCAGGGACCTGGGTTCAATCCCCAGATGGGACAGAAATGGCTTGATCACGTTTCCTTTCACCTCATTGTTCTGTTCACCTAGCAGTAAATAGGTACCCTTGAGTTATGCAACTGTTGTGGAGGGTTGCATCTTGAGACCTAGGGGGGGGGGCTCGATAAGCCTAAGAACAGGCTTCTTATCCCCGACAACGGTGATTATAACAGGACAATACTGTGTGTCTTGGATACGGTTTAATGGCCTTGTTTCAAGCGATACTTCTTGCAAGATATGTTGTTGCGTGCAATGACTTGAGTGCTATGGTCCAGACGCATCGTAATTACCTAAGTGTAGTTACAGGATGAGAGCTACGCTCGTGGTGTCCCGTCTTCCCAGCACTCTTTGTCGTATAACGCTTTGAAACTACTTAGACGCAACTCGTCTAAGAGTGTCGCTGAAGACGGTCACTCCAGAGATAACGAGGCGGAAGACACTCGAGTTTTAGAGGCTCTCAGGACACTCCCAAGTGCTTTAGCAAATCACGGCAGGTGTGGCGGTGAGCAGCGGGCGGCGGGTAATAGTTCTTAATACAACGGCCGACTGGTCTGGTGTTGGACTTAAGGCCTATCACTCTCCAGGGGATTATTAAGGCCACTGACCAGCCAGCAAGTCTGGTGTTGGACTTAAGGCCTATCACCCTCCAGGGGATTATTGGACTTAAGGCCTATCAACCTCCAGGGGATTATTAAGGCCACCACAATAGCTTACTGACCAGCTAGCAAGTCTGGTGTTGGACTTAAGACCTATCAACCTCCAGGTGATTATTAAGGCCACCACAATAGCTTACTCACCAGCCAGCAAGTCCGGTGTTGGACTTAAGGCCTATCAACCTCCAGAGGGTGAACACAGAGCGAGAAGAGGGAGAACACACTCCTCAATGCATGTACAAAAATCTATCCCTTAGAGCGGCGGCTGACAGACACGCGATAAACGTATAGATTGGACGGGGAAGCGAGCGTCTCAGAGAACAGTTGTGACGACAGCTCCCTACATTGATTCTGACATCTTATCTTTGCCAACACATGCTGATGACAGCTACCGAGTTACTGACGAGTCTCCATTCATTTTCCTCAAGTTTGTCAGTCTCCTGGCACCGAGGGCTCTGGAGTACAGTGTCCTAGATTGCTAGAGTACAATGTGGTCGAGTACAGTGTGGTAGAGTACAGTGGTAGAGGCTATAGGTGAACAGTGGTAACTTAGCCAGAGAAAGGGCAACTCAGAGGCGGCGTCCCAAAGGTTGTAGCGTTATCTGTATCTTATCTGTTATCTGGGAACTGTGTGGAGAGGCACTACCGCTCACCTGTTGACACTGATAAGCTGGCACTCAGTCTCAATAGCTGGCCCTCAAGTGTGGCTTGTGGCTGTGTGGGTAGTAACCCACTGATGTGGCTTGTGGCTTTGTGGGTAGTAACCCACTGGTGTGGCTTGTGGCTTTGTGGGTAGTAACCCACTGATGTGGCTTGTGGCTCTGTGGGTAGTAACCCACTGGTGTGGTTTGTGGCTTTGTGGGTAGTAACCCACTGGTGTGGCTTGTGGCTGTGTGGGTAGTAACCCACTGGTGTGGTTTGTGGCTTTGTGGGTAGTAACCCACTGGTGTGGCTTGTGGCTGTGTGGGTAGTAACCCACTGATGTGGCTTGTGGCTGTGTGGGTAGTAACCCACTGATGTGGTTTGTGGCTGTGTGGGTAGTAACCCACTGGTGTGGCTTGTGGCTGTGTGGGTAGTAACCCACTGATGTGGCTTGTGGCTTGCAGCTCTGTGGTTAACCTGTATTGTAACCCTTTAAATTAGATGTCCTGAGAATATTTGGTTTAATGGTTGCCATTTCTAGCCTCCCAAACACATGCATTGTATTCATTGGCTCTTAGTTAGTGGGTTTCTAACCCTGGGATTCATGGACACTTTGTCAATGGGTATCGAATCCTGGAATACGGAGGGACTCTGCCAATACAGGGATACTTCACAAAAGGTCTACCGGCTTCCAAAGTTAATTTCTTTGCAATGACCGCTGTTGAAGACTTTTTTCATATTTCAGATCTGTTATACTGTATTTATGCTTCATTAAAGCGAAGAACATTCAATGTCAAATTATTTGGCTTTAGGGTAAGGAAATGTCTCGCTAGTGGATAGTTGTGCGACGCGAGTAATGGCGTGGCTATGTATTCATAAGAGACTATTTTGTTGAAGTATTGCATTAGAAATGATTACAGAGCAGCCTTCGTATCCTTGACAGTGTTCATCATGGTTGGTCTCCTCTCTCGGGCTCGCTGACGGCCCACCAATCCCTCGACTCGAACTCGACCAAACCCTCGACTCTCTCTAGCAGCTGGCCCACCAGTGTGTTCCTCAGTATGCTGTCATGGGGGACCACCTCCTCAACTCATATAAGTAAAGAGAAGGAATTACTTATTAGTGTGCCATTATAGCTGATAGATAAACAACGGCCTTGACATTGTGCGAGCGCATTTGTAGTAGATTAGTGGTCTCTTGACCTTTCATGAAATTGGAGACATTAAAGAGTTTTATCTTTTTTCGAAGTTTCAAGGTTTGGTTCTTTTTCAATTGCATTTTTCACCAGATTACATTAAGTTAATGTCAAAATGTTTAATCTAATATGGTAATATATAGGAACTTGTAAAAGGAGGATATTCACGATATGTATATGCATCTTATTGTGGTAGGGATCATATTAGTAATGTAGCTTACTTTCAATTTATTTATTATTTATTTATTTATTTATTTATTTATTTATTTATTTATTTATTTATTTATTTATATACAAGAAGGTACATGGGGGGTTATCAGAGAACATAGAATTTAAGTTGAATTTACATTCTTGTAAAGCCACTAGCACCCATAGCGTTTCGGGCAATTTATATCAAACAATGTAATTGACTTGCTGAGGCTGACTGTGGCCAGACCCCATCATGTATCACCACAGGACGGGCGCGGCCTTCTTAATACAATAATTATGATACACAGGCACTTGGATAAGTTTCCAGTCAGGCAAGACCTGGGTAAGTGGCAGTGGTTTATTATGGAAGACATTGACAGGTAATATAATTGGGATCGCTGGGTAGTTTCAGGCGTAGGTTAGACGCATACCTATTGGTGTCTAAACATGTTAGACACATGTTTATATACATATGTCTAACATGTAAACTCATACATGTATTAGTTTGTGTGGATATAATCAGGAGCGGCCTCGTATGTGCCAATATAGGCTTCGTTGCTTTTATTCATATGTTCTTATTTTTTTTATAATGTTGGAGGTATACAAGACGTTCTTGGTGGTGCGTCGGGTGTGGTGGTGCGTCGTGTGTGGTGGTGCGTCGCGTGTGGTGGTGCGTCGCGTGTGGTGGTGCGTCGGGTGTGGTGGTGCGTCGCGTGTGGTGGTGCGTCGCGTGTGGTGGTGCGTCGGGTGTGGTGGTGCGTCGCGTGTGGTGGTGCGTCGCGTGTGGTGGTGCGTCGGGTGTGGTGGTGCGTCGCGTGTGGTGGTGCGTCGCGTGTGGTGGTGCGTCGGGTGTGGTGGTGCGTCGGGTGTGGTGGTGCGTCGCGTGTGGTGGTGCGTCGCGTGTGGTGGTGCGTCGGGTGTGGTGGTGCGTCGCGTGTGGTGGTGTGTCGGGTGTGGTGGTGCGTCGCGTGTGGTGGTGCGTCGCGTGTGGTGGTGCGTCGCGTGTGGTGGTGCGTCGCGTGTGGTGGTGCGTCGGGTGTGGTGGTGCGTCGCGTGTGGTGGTGCGTCGCGTGTGGTGGTGCGTCGGGTGTGGTGGTGCGTCGCGTGTGGTGGTGTGTCGGGTGTGGTGGTGCGTCGCGTGTGGTGGTGCGTCGCGTGTGGTGGTGCGTCGCGTGTGGTGGTGCGTCGCGTGTGGTGGTGCGTCGGGTGTGGTGGTGCGTCGCGTGTGGTGGTGCGTTGGGTGTGGTGGTGCGTCGCGTGTGGTGGTGTGTCGGGTGTGGTGGTGCGTCGCGTGTGGTGGTGCGTCGCGTGTGGTGGTGCGTTGGGTGTGGTGGTGCGTCGCGTGTGGTGGTGCGTCGGGTGTGGTGGTGCGTCGCGTGTGGTGGTGCGTCGGGTGTGGTGGTGCGTCGCGTGTGGTGGTGCGTTGGGTGTGGTGGTGCGTCGCGTGTGGTGGTGCGTCGCGTGTGGTGGTGCGTCGGGTGTGGTGGTGCGTCGCGTGTGGTGGTGTGTCGCGTGTGGTGGTGCGTCGCGTGTGGTGGTGCGTCGGGTGTGGTGGTGCGTCGCGTGTGGTGGTGTGTCGGGTGTGGTGGTGCGTCGCGTGTGGTGGTGCGTCGCGTGTGGTGGTGCGTCGCGTGTGGTGGTGTGTCGGGTGCGGTGGTGCGTCGGGTGTGGTGGTGCGTCGCGTGTGGTGGTGCGTCGGATGCGGTCATGAGGTATGCGAGGAACCAACAGAAGTTTTCAGTAGGTGTTTACAGTAGCACTCGCGCGGAGACCAAGGTTGTGAGATGAAAGGCCGAAAGAAACAATGGATGACATTGTAGTTACTGTAAAAGAGTTAAGAAAACATGTGGAGGAACTAGATGTGACAAAAATCAGTGAACCCAGACATGCTCTCACCATGGCTACTGAAGGAGCTGCAGAAGTACTTTGTCAAGCACTATCCAAAATACACACAGAAATCACAATAGCGTGATGGATCAATGAACAAATCCACAAGGGCCGTGACAAGGATTCGAACCTACGTCCGAGATCATCCCAGACGCTGCCTTAATCGACTGAGCTACGACATGGTCAAAAGAGTTGAAACCAGAAGTTCTACTGAATTTACTTGGATCCTGTAGCCTCTACGAGACATGAGGTGAAGGTAACTACAGGAACTGGAAAGAGAGAAATATTTGTGAGTGAATATAATTTCAACACAAACACCGGAGGCACACATAAACAGGATAACATCGGCAACATATGCGACGCTGGCAAATAGAAGAACATTGATTAGAAACAGAAATCATGACTTCTTCAAGGCAATCTACACAACAATCGTTAGACCCATACTGGACTATGCAGCACCAGCCAGGAACCCACACCGCGTGAAGCATAAAACCAAAATTGAAAATACAAATGTTTGCAACAAGATTGATGCCAGAGGTAAGAGGGTTAAGCTGCGAGTATAGGCTAGTGAAACTATACCTCACAACCCTTACAACTAGGGAGCCGGTCGGCCGAGCGGACAGCACACTGGACTTGTTATCCTGTGGTCCCGGGTTCGATCCCGGACACCGGCGAGAAACAATGGGCAGAGTTTCTTTCACCCTATGCCCCTGTTACCTAGCAGTAAAATAGGTACCTGAGTGTTAGTCAGCTGTCACGGGCTGCTTCCTGGGGGTGGAGGCCTGGTCGAGGACCGGACCGCGGGGACACTAAAAGCCCCGAAATCATCTCAAGATAACCTAACCTAACCCTAGAGGCTAGAAGGACTAGGGCAGGTCATCACAACATACAAGATAAGTATATGAATAGATAAGGCGGACAAGGATAGCCTTATAACATTGAGAAGAAAGTAGGACAAGAGGACACAGGTGGAAGTTGGAAACGCAAATGAGTCTATAGAATATAAGGAAGTACTCGCACCCTGTACTGGTGGTCAACAAGTGGAATGTTCTGATACAAGTTGTGGAAGCCAGTTCTATCCATAGGTCAGATTCGCCACAGAATTTCAACGTCAGAAATGTTAAGTTGTAATGCAACGGATATAACACGGGAGGGGGGGGGGGGTAGTAGGTTGGGCACCGAGAGGTACACCTCACTCCCTTGTAGTCACTGTTAGGTAAGTACACTGTCATCACCGTCTCCACCATCACCACCAGCTCACCACCACACATCACCATCACCACCACCACATCACAATCTCACCACCACCCCCACTAACTCACCACCATACCCTCACCACCACCACACTACCACCTCACCACCACCACCACCTCCCTCCCACCATTCCCTAGTCACCTTTAAGAGGATCGATAGAGATAAGCGTGGAGTGGGTCCCTTACCCCCATCCTCCTTAAGGCACTATGCATATCTCCTTCGACTGTCTATCAAGGACCTACCCGGAACTACCATACTGCCCATTACAAACTATCAATTGGGCTGTTTCTGGAAGATTGTTGATGGTCTCTTATGCTGTATAGGTCCTAAGCACCATCGGACAGAAAATAATATTGGAATTATGAAAAGATACTCTGAAACATACTAGATACACAAGGGAGTATATCGGCTAGATTCATCATACGTGGGATGAATTGGGATGAATCATTGGAACCCAAGCAAGTCATGGAATGTATCCTGGTCCAGGTATATATAAATGTCAGCATTAAGGTGCTATTATGTTTGACTAACACGTCGCAAATTTCAGCAGAGTCGTCAATTCCGTAATTTATAAGACATATTAAGTGAGAGGACAGGTTGTTTACACACACACACTCCATTCACCTGGACTGTTTACACACACACTCCATTCACATGGACTGTTTACACACACACTCCATTCACATGGACTGTTTACACACACACTCCATTCACCTGGACTGTTTACACACACACACTCCATTCACCTGAACTGTTTACACACACACACACACTCCATTCACCTGGCTTGTTTACACACACACTCCATTCACCTGGACTGTTTACACACACACACTCCATTCACCTGGACTGTTTACACACACACTCCATTCACCTGGCTTGTTTACACACACACACTCCATTCACCTGGACTGTTTACACACACACACTCCATTCACCTGGACTGTTTACACACACACACACTCCATTCACCTGGACTGTTTACACACACACACTCCATTCACCTGGATTGTTTACACACACACTCCATTCACCTGGACTGTTTACACACACACACTCCATTCACCTGGACTGTTTACACACACTCCATTCACCTGGACTGTTTACACACACACACACTCCATTCACCTGGCCTGTTTACACACACACACTCCATTCACCTGGACTGTTTACACACACACACACACTCCATTCACCTGGCCTGTTTACACACACACCTGGAGCCGGATTCATCAAGCAGTTTACGCACGTCCTTACGAACCTGTACATCTTTTCTCAATATTTGGCGACTTTGTTTACATCATATATTACACTGTTTCTGAGTTCCGAAGCTCTAGGAGGCTCTTTATAACAATAACAACACTTGATTGTAAAGCTTCGATGCTCGTAAACTGTTTAATGAATGTAAACAAAGCCACGAAAGGTTGAGAAAAGATATGGAGGTTCGTGAGGACTTGCGTAACTGCTTGATGAATCAGGCTGAAGGTTCGTGAGTAGATGCGTAACTGCTTGATGAATCCGGCCCCCAGGTTCGTGAGTAGATGCGTAACTGCTTGATGAATCCGGCCCCCAGGTTCGTGAGTAGATGCGTAACTGCTTGATGAATCCGGCCCCCAGGTTCGTGAGTAGATGCGTAACTGCTTGATGAATCCGGCCCCCAGGTTCGTGAGTAGATGCGTAACTGCTTGATGAATCCGGCCCCAAGTTCGTGAGTAGATGCGTAACTGCCTGGTGAATCCGGCCCCCAGGTTCGTGAGTAGATGCGTAACTGCCTGATGAATACGGCCCCAGGTTCATGAGTAGATGCGTAACTGCTTAATGAATCCGGCCCCCAGGTTCGTGAGTAGATGAATCCGGCCCCCAGGTTCGTGAGTAGATGAATCCGGCCCCCAGGTTCGTGAGTAAATCCGTAAATGCTTGATGAATCCCTGGCCCCAGGTTCGTGAGTAGATGCGTAACTGCTTGATGAATCCGGCCCCAGGTTCGTGAGTAGATGCGTAACTGCTTGATGAATCCGTCCCCCAGGTTCGTGAGTAGATGCGTAACTGCTTGATGAATCCGTCCCCCAGGTTCGTGAGTAGATGCGTAACTGCTTGATGAATCCGGCCCCAGGTTCGTGAGTAGATGCGTAACTGCTTGATGAATCCGGCCCCCAGGTTCGTGAGTAGATGCGTAACTGCTTGATGAATCCGTCCCCCAGGTTCGTGAGTAGATGCGTAACTGCTTGATGAATCCGGCCCCCAGGTTCGTGAGTAGATGCGTAACTGCTTGATGAATCCGGCCCCCAGGTTCGTGAGTAGATGCGTAACTGCTTGATGAATCCGGCCCCCAGGTTCGTGAGTAGATGCGTAACTGCTTGATGAATCCCAGGCCCCGTGTTTGTGAGGCCGGGCCGCCCTAGACCTGCCTCGACTGTTATATTAAACCTTTGATGTAAAGCATTTAATGACGTCCCTTATTATATGTTTCATTATTGTCTTATTTTAATAATAATGTTTGTAATATTACTCCAGGTGTAGTGCGTACGACTTTGGTGATATCAGGTGTCCAAGTGTGACCTTTATGATATCAGGTATCTGTGTGTGACCTTTACGATATCAGGTGTCCAAGTGTGACCTTTATGATATCAGGTGTCCGAGTGTGACCTTTACGATATCAGGTGTCCAAGTGTGACCTTTATGATATCAGGTGTCCGAGTGTGACCTTTACGATATCAGGTGTCCAAGTGTGACCTTTATGATATCAGGTGTCCGAGTGTGACCTTTACGATATCAGGTGTCCAAGTGTGACCTTTATGATATCAGGTGTCCGAGTCAGACCTTTGTGATATCAGGTGTCCGAGTCAGACCTTTATGATATCAGGTGTCCGAGTCAGACCTTTGTGATATCAGGTGTCCGAGTTAGACCTTTATGATATCAGGTGTCCGAGTCAGACCTTTGTGATATCAGGTGTCCAAGTGTGACCTTTGTGATATCAGGTGTGTATGTGAGATCTAAATGATATCAGGTGTCCAAGTGTGACCTTTATGATATCAGGTGTCCAAGTGTGACCTTTATGATATCAGGTGTCCGAGTTAGACCTTTATGATATCTCGTGTCCAAGTGTGACCTTTACGATATCACGTGTCTACTTTAGACCTTTACGATATCAGGTGTCCAAGTGTGACCTTTGTGAAAGACCTTTATGATATCAGGTGTCTATGTGAGACCTTTACGTTATCAGGTGTCTACGTGAGACCTTCACGATATCAAGGGTCTACATGATAACTTTACGATGCTTCCAATAACTTCATCATTTATACACACAATCTATAATAAGAAAATGTTTTAGTTAAAACAATACACATGCAATAAATATACACTGTGTTTATTGTTAGTTTTGAATTAAATATGATTTTATGTATTTAAAAATTTGTGTACAAAAAATAATGTTACTTGAAACTTCGTATGAAAATGAATAAAAGGGTATAATAAAATGTATTTAAATAAGGTTGTAAATATATCAACACTCAATAGAACACGAAACAATATATATAAATGGAATAAGTTTAGATTCGTGAAAGACCTGGGTAAATACTGGTTTGGAATCAGGGTTGTTGATCTATGGAACAAATTACCGGGAATGTAATGGAGGTGGCCCCTTTAGTCCTGGAACTATGCCCACGACTATCCGGTTTAATCCATCCGGTTTAGTCTATCCGGTTTAAAGAATACTTGCTGGCTGGTCAGTAAGTTGGTTGTGGTGACCTCAATAGCTCTCCAGAGGTTATTAATTGTCATTAGCCGCAGCATTATACAAGTGGTGAGTTGGCTTGATATTGGCCTCGTGGCCATCAACCTCTGGAGGGCTGGTGAGCCTGCCACAATAACTTACTGACCAACCAGCACGCGAAGGGAAGGGAACCATCAGGGCTAAAGCGTCGAGCCATTACGACTATATAACACTGGGAAGGGGTCAGGATAAGGATTTGGGCTGGGACGGCGGGAAGGAATGGTGCCCAACCACTTGGACGGTCGGGGATTGAAAGCAGATCCGCACGAAGCGAGATCGTCGCTCTACCCTCCAACCACTTGGACAGTTTACTTTAGTCCAACAAGTGAAATAATGTAAACTCAAGTGTATGTAGAGCGAGAAGCGGAGTGTAGAGGTGTACTCACCTATTTGTGCTTGCGGGGGTTGAGCTTTGGCTCTTTGGTCCCGCCAGGTGTATAGGTGTGTCGTTGTGGTGAGTGAATGAGTGTGGTACTAACAGCAACCTTCTCCCCGGCGTGGTGCGGGCGCCCACAGAGGTGATGAAGCCGGTGGGGGTGGAGATGTGCGAGGGCTGCGGCAGGACCATCCAGGACAGGTTCATCATGAGAGTCATCGACACCTCCTGGCACGAGGACTGCCTCGTCTGCTGCGTCTGTCGCGTCCAGCTCCAGCACTCCTGCTTCGCCAGGGACAACAAGATCTACTGCAAGCTCGACTACGACAGGTGAGGCGCCACGCTTAGGGTGAGGGGTGTTGGGGAGGGTGAGGGGGGAGGCCTGGGGTGTTGAGGAGGGTGAGTGAGGACTGGGGTGTCGGGGAGGGTGAGGGTGGCCTGGGGTGTCGGGGAGGGTGAGGGGGGAGGCCTGGGGTGTTGGGGAGGGTGAGGGAGGACTGGGGTGTCGGGGAGGGTGAGGGAGGACTGGGGTGTCGGGGAGGGTGAGGGGGGCCTGGGGTGTTGGGGAAGGTGAGAGATTTTAGGGTGTCAGGGAGGGGGGAAAAGGACTAAGGGTGTCAGGCAGGGTGTTTGGGTTGGGGGGGGGGGTCCTTGGCTGTTGGGGAAAATGGGGGTTAGAGAGAGGGTAGGGTGGGGAAGAAGAGGGTGAGCATGGCGTGAGGGGAACGGGGCCAGCAGAGGTCAGTGAGGGGGTTGAAAACAAGCTGTGCTCAACTAGGGTCATGTGAGGTCATTCAGTAATTAACAAGGGCAGACGAGGGCCGCCGTAAGGTTGCACCTCTCTCTCTCCTATCTATCCCTGCATCACTATCCTCTTCTGTTTTATTGAATTTTCCGACAATTATGCAAACATATTATTCTCTTTGTGTCTCTGTGTGTGTGTCTCTGACACTGAACACGTTCCCTTGTTCTCTCTTGTCTTACACTGAACACGTTATTGAACAGCGTCAAGAATGGCTGCTAATACAACTTGATTCTTTCCTGAGTCCTCAATTACGTGTTAGAAAGTTTCTTCCAATTACTGCAGTCAGTTTATTTCTCCTTGTGTCATCCTCTGCTAGCTCGTCCTGTGGGTCCCGGTTGATATCAGCTGCTTTATCATCAAATGTTGCATCTGGTCGATGCTTTACCATTGTAACGTGATGTCTGTTAAGTGAATATATACCCACTGAACTATATGTTTAACACAACTAACCCTGTCCATGGAGGACAGAAAAAAATGTATATATGCTGGTTAGCATTGTAAATGTGTGGCCACGTCTGGGGTAGAAACAAAAATGAAAAAAAAATTAATATACCAAACCGTCCTCAACTCAAGTCCATTACATCCAGCGGTCGACCCCACAGACGCATTCGTAAATTTTTACATGATGTTCATTCAAAACGGGAATTTTCTCAAATATAAATTAATATTATAATATATTAGCATATTGTGCATATATATAGGCATAGGTTAGGTTAGGTGTTTAGGTTCTGTTGGCGATTATTTGTATTTGTAGTACGTGGGTGAAGCATTTACAGCGTTGTGGCTCGAACAAAATTCGTCAGTGAAGCATTTGTTCCGGAAGTGTTCGAACGTCAGCAGTTGTGAGTCGTGTGTAAACCGTTTTTCATTCATAAACAGCTGAGGTTTGGCGGGTGCATGGAATCACTTTTGGGTCTTTGTTTGGAGGACGGACTGCGCCAACACACTGCTGTGATCGAAGCGTGGCCTCCTGCAGGAGGAGGAAAGCGGTGAGGTTCGAACAGAGGGCGTCAGCGATGCACTGTTCGATAAATATTTGAATGTCATCAGTTGTGAATGGTGTTTAACCAGCCCGTCGTCATCAACAAAGGTCAAATGTTCATTCCATGCACATTTTTACAAACCACTCACAACGGGTGACGTTCGAACATTCACTCGAACAGTGCTTCGCTGACGACCTCTGTTCGAACAGCAACATTGTAACTGCTTCACCCACGTATTTCAAATACAAATCATCGTCGACAGAACCTAAACACCTAACCTAACTTACGTCTTACTACACATAGAACTTTACTCTATAAATGCGAACAAATGTGTTTCTTGATACACAATGCGATAAAACTGAGGAATGCGTCTTGGGGGGCGGCCGCAGCATTAACGAGCCGGGCATGAGGACGGGTTGTGTGTCTGTAAAATATTTGTCATCCATCAATATGGGGGTTTGGCGGCTGCATTAACGAGCATTTGACCTTACTTTATGAGGACGGGATGCCGTTTGGACCAGCGGGAATCGAACGCCGAGCCTGCAACGTTCCATTCTCACATCAGTCAAGATGACTGAAGGTAATCTCAGGTAATGTTTCTTTTAAGAGGTAAACTGTGGACTTGTCTCGTCCTGTTAGTCATTCTTTTACCTCACAACAGAAAGAAAGTAACAGGAAGTGCTATTAACAGCGGCGAGAGTCGGCAACAACGGGTGATAAGCAACGGTAAAGGTCACTAACAACGGGTGAGAAGTAACAGTAACTGTCGCTAACGGTAAACGGGGCAGGGGAGGGGGGGGGGGGTTAGAAACCATGGTATCGGAGGTGTCAACAACGGGATGATGTTATCTCCAGGCCGCCAGGACTGTGATACGGAGCTGATAACACCAAGTGGAGGGTGGGGGGGGGGGGGTGGAGAGAACCCCCGGAGGCGGGAGAACAGTATGCTTGTGTGCGTTAAGCTCCAGCTCTTGGGTCCTGCCTCTCGATTCTCAATCAGCTGGTGCACATGCTTCTAAGTCTTTTAGGTTTTGTTATTTGTACATTTGATGCTGTGTATGAAGTCTGCCCCCCCCCCCCCACCATTTTTTTTTGTTACACAGGAGGGTACAGGAGCAGACGACTGCTGACTCCTGTTAGCAGGCTGAGAGCTTTCCCTTCCCATAGCTCATGGTAAGCCTTACCCTACTAGTTTTACACACATGAGGGTACAGGAGCAGACGACTGCTGACTCCTGTTAGCAGGCTGAGAGCTTTCCCTTCCCATAGCTCATGGTAAGCCTTACCCTACTAGTTTTACACACATGAGGGTACAGGAGCAGACGACTGCTGACTCCTGTTAGCAGGCTGAGAGCTTTCCCTTCCCATAGCTCATGGTAAGCCTTACCCTACTAGTTTTACACACAGGAGGGTACAGGAGCAGACGACTGCTGACTCCTGTTAGCAGGCTGAGAGCTTTCCCTTCCCATAGCTCATGGTAAGCCTTACCTTACTAGTTCCTTGCCCCTCATATGCCAGCTCCTTGGGCGGTGTGTGTAGATGTGTCGCCGATTCCTTCCTACATTCTCGCTACATCATTTTGTAAACAGCAGCGATCTTAGTTTCATAATTCTTGATTTCTTACTTTAATTGTTTATTTAATAGGAATTAGCAGTGTTAGGAGTTTGTCAATCCTTTACGAAAGCAGGAGTTGGGCTGCAACTGTCACTGATAAAACGTTGTTATTTTGAAAGTGATTCCTTAACTGCTGGAACTCATTACAGTTGAGTAAATAGTGGTTGAGGGGATTGGCGAGGCTGTCTTCCATGCTGTCTAGGTCACCGTCAGGTGATGAATTCCAATATGGGGCCCGGGGGGTGGGGGGGTGGTTATGGTGGGGGGTGTTGAAGGAGGTCTGACCAAACAACTGACCAGGGGGGGTGGCGGGGGGGAGGTGGAGGCACCATGTTATTGGAGTGGTCACGGTGTGTGTGTACATGTGCCCGGAGCTGCTCCTCGTCCCTTCGTCACCCCCCTACACACCTTTCTACACCTATATATCCTCCTACACCCCGTTGTTGTTGTTGTTGTTATAGATTCAGCTACTCGGAACAAGCTCCAAGTAGCACGGGCTATGGTGAGCCCGTAACTTACCTGGCACAGGAGCGGGATAAGTAGCACGGGCTATGGTGAGCCCGTGCTACACCTCTTGGACCACTGCACAGTACACCTTTATACCTCTATATTTCTTTAAACGTCCTACACTCTTTACATCTCTCCACAACTTCCAAAACTTGATACATCATAACATCTGCATATCTTCTCAGTCACTTCAACGCCCTCACACTATCTAAACTTTACTAAAATCTTCCAGACTCATCAGCAGCAGAGTGGAGAGTGCTCTGGGGTCGTGTGGTACTAGGGGCCCAGGTTCGATTCCCGGTCGAGGCAGATATAAATGGGCAGAGTTTCTATCACTTGATGCCTATGTTCACCTAGCAGTAAATAGGTATCTGGGAGTTAGGGAGCTGCTTCGGACTGCATCCTGGTGTTGTGAGATAAATATATGGTAGATATGATAGAGGAAAAATAGGTCGGGAGTCAGTACATTACACACACACACACACACACACACACACACACACACACACACACACACACACACACACACACACACACACACACACACACACACACACACACACACACACACACAGGCTTAATATTCTGGTCTGCCTTATCAGTATTCGGCAGTAACACAGGCTGTGACTGACGGGTCAAGGGGAAAGAGGTAGGGACGGAGACGGAGGGAAGGGAAGGGAAGAGGAAGGGGAGCATGGGAGAAAAAGGTATCAAGGAAAGGGGGAAGGGGGTAGGGGAGGGAAGGGAGGTGTAAGGTGTGATTACCTTGTGTTGAGGCTACACTGCTTCTGTGTTGTCTCAGATGTTGTGTTACCTGCAGACTGACCTACACGTGTCAAGCATAGCGTCTTAAGGAGCTCCAAGTCCCTTGTCCGGTCCATGACTCTTGAGAGCTCCAAGTCCCTTGTCCGGTCCATGACTCTTGAGAGCTCCAAGTCCCTTGTCCGGTCCATGACTCTTGAGAGCTCCAAGTCCCTTGTCCGGTCCATGACTAAGAGTTCCAAGTCCCTTGTCCGGTCCATGACTCTTGAGACCTCCAAGTCCCTTGTCCGGTCCATGACTAAGAGGTCCAAGTCCCTTGTCCGGTCCATGACTAAGAGGTCCAAGTCCCTTGCCCGGTCCATGACTAAGAGGTCCAAGTCCCTTGTCCGGTCCATGACTTGTGTCAGTTGTAGAGCACATATAGCTGTCTTTCCTTGCGGTAATGTGGAGCATGGAGACCCGCTGGCCAAGTAGAGGGTTAATGGTTGTCTCAAAGTTTGAGGGTATAGTTTGCATGTGGGTAGGTGCTAAGATGCCTCTCTGCTCCAGTTTACATTGTCTCTTTTTTCCTTTTAAAATTTGGCACAATGATGGGAGCTGACAACTGGAGTAGTGCCTCCTGTGGTTTACGCCAGGCGCTCCCCGAGGCTGTGGTGTTTA